TTTAATGAAATTATACGCAAAATTGTTATATTTCTTTTGTATACTATAACAGGAAAATCTATCGTAAACTTGTATGAACACAACAATTTTGGTGCACTGTTGAGAATAACTGGTTGGATGAAGCGATTCATTGGTAAAATTAGGAAAACAAACTATTTAACAGTTCCATTAATAACTGAAGAATTAATAGATGCCGAAAATTATTGGATTCGATCTGAACAAGAACACCTTTATCCCAAAGAAAGTGAATAAAGTCGAAAAGAAATCATGTTTATATCTTTTTAACCCATTTTTGGACCAGAATGGGATACTAAGAGCAGGTGGAAGATTCGAACATTCTAGTTTGTCACATGATGAAAAACATCCTGCAATTCTTTCAAGAGACTCTTGGCTAAAGAATTTGAAAGTAGAAAGTGCACATGTTAAAGTGATGCATGCATGGAGGAGTAGCAACGACCTTAGCTGAAATTCGAAGTCGCTTTTGGATCCCAAAAGGATGTCAGTTTGTCAAGAAAATAATAAACAAGTGTCTCATTTGTAAAAGATATTCATTGAAATCTGCTGACCAGACCACTTCTCAGCTTCCAGAAGATAGAATTAATGAGACACCACCATTCCACGTGTCTGGCATCGATTTATGTAAAAAACATTGAAGGAAGTCAAAAAGCATATGTAACATTATTTACTTGTGCTACCAGTAGAGCCACACATTTGGAGCTTGAACCAAATCTCTCTATGGAGATTTTTTCTTTATGGCATTCAAAAGATTCACATCCAGGAGAGGCAATTGTCGAGTAATTTGTTCGGACAACGCAAAAACTTTTAAAATTGGAAAAAAGGAACTCGAAAATTTCTCTAAACTATTGTCAAATGAGAAATTTCAAGATTTTCTGTTGAATGAAAGGATTGATTGGAAATTTATAATAGAACGAGGGGCTTGGTGGAGAGGCTTCTATGAGAGATTAGTAAAATCAGTGAAAGAGTTCTTAAGAAAAGTTCTCGGAACTAACATTTGAAGAATTGTCAACGGTTTTAGCACAAGTGGAAGCTGTTTTGAATTCTCGTCCTTTGACATATGTATACAATGACCACAAGGAACGTGTTGCCACTGAAGCCAGTCAATTTTTTTATTTTCGAAAAAAAGATTCTGCACTACTTATCAACTTTAACTCCATTGTTAAAGATGGCTCTACCAAGTCTTCTCTGACCAAAAGAAAGATTTATTGGTTCGACAATAGTGGACTAAATGGAAAAAACAGTATTTAATGGATCTTCGGACAGCTCATCAATTAAAAAATCCTAACGCTTATGATGATTTAAAAGTTGACGATCTTGTATTAATCGAAGGCAACAACAAATGCAAACTTTTGTGGAACTGTGTAGAGACAAAGTTTTCATGGCTGTGATAACAAAGTCTTCTGTGAACTAATCTGCTTGAATAAAAAAACGCCGTTCATTTACAGTGGTACAAAATATGCACACATACATTTTTGTTCACAATTTATAAGAAAATGCATTAAGAAATACAAAAATTGGCATTTAAAAATAGAATAAGCTTATTCATTTAAATTAGTTACAAAAAATACAATAATATTAATAAAAAAATTTTTGCAACAATATTAAAATAGCTTATGTCAAAAAAGTATTTGCACACTCAACTCAACTTTAGCAAATTTGCATTTTTATGCTATTATTTGACAGTCATCCCGCAGTAAATAACATACGTAAGACGACTATAAAAGGAGGTGTTGTCGAAACGTTATCAGTTGATTGTCGATTTCAAATTGTAATGGCACCTAAGAAATCTGAATTGCCGATTTCGTTGCGAGAAAAAATTGTTTCTCTACGTGAAAATGGCCTAAGTTATCGAGAAAATAGGTAAAAAAAGTAAATGTTTGCTTCTCTCTACTGTTCGGTATGTTATAAAACGTCATAAAGAAAGAGGATCTACATCAAATAACTTGCGCTCTGGACGCCCAAAGAAACTTTCACTGCGAATGAAGCGAAAAATCATAAGAGAAGCATCGAAAAAATCCATTTGTTAGTGCAATTACTTTAGCCAATGATGTCGCTTCAACATCTGGAGTTCAAATCTGTGCCCAAAGTGTTCGAAATGTCCTGCACGATGCACACATTTATGGGAGATCTCCAAGGAAAAAACCTCTCATAACTGAACGAAATAGACTGAAGAGACTTGAATTCGCTAAGGAATATATCAATAAGCCAATTGATTTCTGGAAAAATGTCATATTCTCCGACGAGAGTAAGTTCAATATCTTTAAATCAGATGGCAGGAAATTAGTTTGGAGAAAACCTTGTACTGCTTTTCATACCAAAAATACTATGTTACCTACAGTTAAACATGGAGGAGGTTCTGTTATGATTTGGGGGTGCATGGCTAGCAAAGGAGTTGGTAATTTGTGTTTCATTGATGGGAATATGACAGCTCGAACCTATATTGATGTGTTGCGAGATAACTTGCCACAAAGTGCAATAAAATTGGGTATCAGTAATTCGTACTATTTTCAGCAAGACAATGATCCCAAGCACACTGCCGGTATAACACGTATGTGGTTGCTTTATAATGTACCCAGAAAACTTGCCACTCCACCACAATCACCAGACTTAAATCCTTTGGAAAATTTGTGGAATTCTTTGGATTTAAAAATAAGAAAAAGGAAGATTTCAAGCAAATCTGCCCTTATTGAAGAGTGGTCGAATACTGACCCTACTGTTACAGAAAATTTAATTAAATCAATGCCAGCAAGATTACAAGCAGTAATAGATGCTAAAGGAATGCATACTAAATATTAGTTATTTGAAATTTGCTTATATATTTTATTTCTTTTGTATTCATGCAGGTGTGCAAATACTTTTTTGATACGAGATATTTTAATTTTTGTTACAAAAAAGCATTGTTATTTATATTATTGTAATTTTTCTGTTTGTTTTGGATGATTAAACTTATTCTGATTTGGCAATACCAATTTTTTTTTTTTTTATTTCTTAATGCTTCTTTTTATGAATTGCAAACAAAAAATGTAGGTGTGCAAATACTTTTTTTACCCACTGTATATACTTTTTTTTTTTTTTTTTTTTTTTTGTGAATGAATGATGTTTATGCAATTTATTTTGCAATTTACTCATATTAAGAAGAAGATTTATGAAGTATGTCAAATTTATTGAGTTAACATACATTTTGAATTTTAAAGCATAATATAATGATTATAGTTTGAATATATTTTCTATGCATTTCAAATGCTTATTAATTGTTTGATAATTATATTTTAAAATACTTATTGATATAAATTTGATTGTTGTTAGATTAATGTGAACTCTTGACAGAGTTCAGGTGGGGAGTGTGTGGAAATTACTTTGATTAATTGATAGATGGCACTAGTATTGCGAGTTAAACGCGATGTGCCTTCTGAATTTCCATAGACTTTCCACCGGCTGCTTGATAGATGGATTGTTTAGATGCTTCGCACACTTTATGAACACTTCGGCTCCTATTTAAAAGATTTTGAATTTTGATTGTGAAAGCATATAGTAGGGGTGGCCAAGCTTCTTGATAGTGAGAGCCATTTTTCAAAATTTGAAATTTTTCGCGAGCCGCAATAAAATATGCATTTAAAAGGAATGTAAAAAAGGTATTAAAAATTTTTTTACAGACATTATATTTATTAAAATCATATAAATAAAAGTACAAAATACGTGCATTGAATTTAAATATTAAAAATTAAACACATTTATTTCACTTCTCTTGATAATTCCTTAAAATTTGGTGAATAATTGGTTACAGCACTTCTCAGTAATTCTTTGAGATGCTGGTTTAGTTAATACTGATCGGTGTTTGGATTTCACGAATTTTAAAGTGGAATCAAATAATTCACATAAGTACGGATTTCCAATTATTGAAATAATTCGACAAGCAGCCTTTTTTAATTCAGGATACTTCGATTCTGGTACAAATATCCAAAATTCAGTACAGTCAAAAGTCGTTAATCCGGACTTCGGCGATTCCGGATTATAGATCATCAGTTTAAATCTGGTAAGATGGCATGCAGAAATTACAAAATTAAAAATATGAAACCATAATTTATGAAATAAAGAACAATTATGATATAAAGGGTATCAAAATTCCCCCCCCCCACCAAAGAAAAAGAGCTTAATATTTTATTTGTTAACTTTATTAAACATTTCTTTCAATGTAAGTTGTTTAAGTTGCTTCGTTTTATGTGATATTACTTTCTCTTTAATTCTATAAACAGACATAATTTCTTGTTCAGTTACAAAGTTCCACTGTTCAAGTCCTATAATTGCTGTGTCGAGAATACCGACTAATTTGTCAATCGAAATTTTCGTTTTCAATAATCTCTGTGTCACTTTCTTCACTATCGGAAGCGAATTATAATGACGAGGAACTTGTTTTAAATCATATCAAAGACGGAGTACATCAAGATGAAATATTGCATTTAGTAAGGAATTATAAGCCAAATAAAATAAAAACATCTGGCCTGAAGATAAGGATAGTGCTGACAGATCAACTTCCAATTCATTCCGCGAAGCGGCATTTCCCCCGCCAAGCAGCGTGAAATTGATAAACAGATTTCAGATTTCGAAACATACTTTCGCTTTACATCCTTTACATATTAGCAAATATATATCGGAAATTCTATTTGAATAAATCGAAAGTTCAAGCTTACTTTTTATAAAATTGCTCTAACAGTCTGCAAAAAATAATAAGCGGATCCAATTCGAAGATTAAGGAACAACACAATCTGCAACATTAACTGAATTAGATAATTTTAGCTTAGCTTATACCATCCATTATACATTAAACGCAGATGCGTAAACGTTTTATGCACATGCATATTTGCAGCCGTAAAGGTCTTACGCGCACACGTAAATGCCTATGCGCATGCGCAGAAAGTTTGTAGCTTTGAGGTCCGGATTATGGGTGTCCGAATTAACGACTTTTGACTGTAATTGGCGCCGATTTATATTTTAATTGCAGAGCTTGATCTTCTTGCATCTCTATTAATTCTAATTCTCTAGATGCTTTTTGGGTCACAATTATATTGGAAATGGAAAACTCACCTTGAATTTTGTTAATTTCAAATGGATTCAGAAAAAAATTAGGAGTCGATGGACGGAAATGAAGTTTGTTACAACGTTGCACTTAGTCTTTCATATTTGTTATCTGTAATTAATTTAAAAGACATTTTGAAACACATATGGAATAGTAATAATTTTTTCACATATAATAACACAAAAATGAAAAGGGAACTGGGGTACATTTATCGAGAGCCACAAATAATTCTTCAAAGAGCCGCATGTGGCTCATGAGCCGTAGGTTAGCCACCCCTGGCATATAGATTTGTTAGATCACCGAACCACCGAATGCTGTAATTAATGATATGTAAATATTGTACATACTAAAGGTTACATTTTAAAAGTGATAGATGTCAATTTATAGCAATCTCAGAATATTTTGAAACAGCAAGTCCATGGGAATCTCCGATCGTCCTGTTCAGAAAGAAAAAAAAAATTCAAACTAGATTTTGCATTAACTATCTCTGGTTGAACAAGGTTAAGAATTCCTAGAATCGACAACATTCTGGACACACTTTCTGGAAGCAAGTGGTTTTTAATGCTTGATTTAAACAGCATATGTTGGCAGGTAGAGATACATCCTCATAACCAAGAAAAGAAGCTTTCACTACTGAACAAGGACTTTGGCAGTTCAAGATGACAGCGTTTGGACTATGCAATGAGCAGACAACATTCTAACATCACATGGAGACTGTGCTGAGAGGTCTTTTCTACAAAGCCTATCTGATATACCTAGATGACATCACTGTCAGAAGGAATTTGGAAGAACATTTAGAAAATCTTAGAAAGGTGCTTCCGAAACTGAATGAAGCCAATCTAAAGTTAAGTCCTGCGAAATGTATATTATTCAGACAGTAAGTAACTTACCTCAAACATGTCGTCTCTGCCAACGATGTGTGTACATATTAAAAAAAAAAAAAAAAAAAAAAAAAAGCCAGCAGTTAAAAGACTGGAGATGTCCTAAAAATGTCCATCAACTGAAAAGTTTCCTAGGGCTTTTCGAACAGAGAACAAGCAAAAACTCTTGTGAACAAAAGAATGTGAGGATGCATTTATCAAACTGTAGGAGTTTGAAGATCTGCTCCAATTCTGACGTATCCCCAACTCAACAAACCATTTATTCTTGACAAAAATGCAAGCAATGATAGTGTCAGTGCCATTTTGTCCCTCAAGAACATTTTGTGGTATACTGGAGCAAATATCTATCTAAACCACAGAGGAATTACTGTGTCACCAGCAAAGAACTGGTCGTCGTAGTTAACGGCCATACATTTCCATCTTTATCTCTAAAGCAGAAAATTAATGCTCCTCAGAGATCATGCATCATAGACTTTGTTCTTAAATTTCAAGAAACTTGAAGTCATGGATAAGAAGACTCCAGGAAAATGACATAACTATCTGTCATCGGAAAGGATCATTGGATGTAAATGCCAATGCCCTGTCTAGAAAACTCTGTCCAAAAAGCTGCCGATTTTGTTTCAGGATAGAAACGGAGATACAAACTTCTTAATCCAGTCGCACGGAAAATTACAACTTCAACATCGGCTGATGAAACCCATGGACCGATGAAATCAGAAAAGGCTATTTAGAAGATAGCTACATTAAAACCATAATTCATTTAATGGAATTTTCAAACATTAAACCTACCTGATCGGAAAGTTTGACCTATAATCCTACGACAAAACAATATTACACACTCTGGGATTCATTCCATATTTGAAAATTTTTTTTATACCGGAAATTTGAATCAGATGATGAAAAGATATTCCGATGGCAGCTGATACTTCCAAGATCCCAGACATCCTTAAAGAACTACATAGCAGCCTTACAGGAGGCCGCTTCGGAATAAGTAAGACATTGTATAGAGTTCGAAAGCGCATCTCCTGGAGTAATTCAAGAGCAGACACACAAAAGTAGTGTCAACTTTGTGATGCCTGTGCAGGTCAGAAAGGAGCAAAGAAATGCAATGTTATAATGTAGGGGAGAAGCTGCAATGTTACAATGTAGAAGTGCCTATTGACGCCTTTGGCATCTTGAAACCTCTACCAAGAACTGCTGATGGCAACAAATACATACTCATCGTTATTGATTACTTTACCAGGTGGTCTGAAGCATATCTTATCCCTGATTAAGAGGCTGTCACGGCAGCATGGGTAGTGATACAGAAGTGCCTATTGAACATACCGCCTTTGGCATCTTGAAACCTCTACCAAGAACTGCTGATGGCAACAAATACATACTCATCGTTATTGATTACTTTACCAGGTGGTCTGAAGCATATCTTGAGGCTGTCACGGTAGAATGGGTAGTGATACAGAATTGATTATCAGGCTTGGAGAGCTTCTTTAGTTACATTCTGATCGAGAAAGAAATTTTATCTCGGCTGTAATTAATGAACTCTACAAGCTACTTGGCATAGAGAAAACTCAAAGGAAATCTTTAGCTCCCCAGTCAGATGGCATGGTAGAGAGGTTTAATTGAACCATACTTAATAACCTCTAGCTGGTGATTTCCAAAAGGACTGAGACGAGATGTAACCACTGTCCTTACTGGCTATCACATAGCCATCCACGAGACTATCAGTTATTAGGTAGTGGCCTTCCGTCTGCCTTATGATCTTTTGTTTGGTTGCCCTCCAGATACTCCTTCATTGCCTGAGAAGTACATGCAAGATCTCCAGACATGGTTTGAAGTGATGCACAGTTTTGCATGTCAACAAGTCAATTGGCGATAGAGAAGATGAAGACCTGATATAACATGAAAGCTACAGGACGTCATTTCAACAAAGGTGATAAGGTTGGTTGTGGAATGCAATTCGATGGAATTTATTCTCTCCTAAACTACAGTCACCTTTTGATGGCCCTTACACAGTTCTAAACAGGGTGAACGTCATCATAGTTTAGATATGTAAGTCACTGAATTCTAAGCCTTCTTTACAGCCTAAGTATTTCTTTACAACAGGCTAGCCCCTTACTATAGCCATAGTATGTAGTCCCCACAGTGTATATAATATTAATAGTATACATACTAAGAACATGGTCCTATTTATTTCTAAATTTATGCACTCATTTATTGGTTTAGTATTTGATTTGTTTTATGTTACTTACTGAAATCATTGTTTAAGTATTGCATAGATTTTTCATAGTTGTAAGTATGGCTTCCTGTCCAGGGATTGTACTGCCCAAAACGTGCAGTCCTTATGAAGGGGGCAGTGTTATGAATTTTATCCATAGATAGGTATTTTTTGTGAACTTACATGTAAAATTGCTGTAATTCTTTTGCATAATTTAAAAAGAAAATCTATTGTGAACTCAGTCGCACACAACAACGTGAAGTGATGCAAGGTCAGGACCAGCATCAAACCCAGTATGGCAGATAGAAGTTAGTGAAGCAACAAGCAACAAAATTTAGGGATCGCAAAAATTTAAAATTTAGGACAGATGCTGGGCAACAGAATAAAGGACCTATGAGATTGGACTGGGAACAGAGATTCCACCGGGTGGCAAAATGCCACCTGTACGATGCAGTGAGAGACATAAGATGAATCTTTTAAATTGGCAGTTTTCTTTTTCTTTATTAATAGAAAAATTCCTTTCTACCTATCCATGTGACAAAATTAGAACTATTTTTGCAATTTTCTATGCTCGCGTCTAATGTAAAGATGAGAAAACAAAGGGAAGATAAACATGTTAAGAGGAAGACTTCTAGGATCGAAAGCAGAAAATTCAAGTAACTTTTTTTTCACTTTTCTTCCAAAAATGAGAAATTTATCACAAATTTCCAAAAACGCACATTCATTACAAGTTAATATCATGAAAACATCTTTCATTTGGTCATATTTTTTGGAATTGTAGGTCTTATAAATCTTGCTTTCACCTTCCGAGGTGAGAGGTCTAAAAATTATTCCTGCCAACTAACTCTCTAGGAGAAAAAAGCCAGAAGATTCCTGAATAAAAATATTTCTGAAAAGAAGAGTGTAAAGTAAAATTTTAAGTGAAAACTGTTAAACATTTGAATATTCTGAAACAAGTACATGGGCAAAAAATTTCTAATGAAAACATATAAAAGAAGAAAAAATAAATTAATTTTCAAATAACTAAAGTAGCTTTTGTTTAGAAGCGTTTTGGAAACTATGTTTCATAGGATTTATTATCTTACTTAATTTTCAGAAACAAAATATTCCTAGTTGCGAAAATCCAAAGTAATGTTATTTTAAAATATGACATGAGAAAACAAAAATTTTTTATTTTAATGTTATTTCTTTATTACAATTTTAGTATATAATCATTTCTTAATATTTTATTTTAATGCTACTTTTTATTACAATTTTAGAATATCATAATTTCTTAATGATATTAACTTTATTATGTTTGCTTAAAAAAAAAGGCAAAATATTCGGATTATTGCAAAAATGTTCATAAATCACCAAATTTAGTAACACATAGTTAAAGAAATTATATCTTAAAAACAGAAAGGATATTTTTGATGTAATATTTTATGAACTCTTCATTCTCAAAAAAGAAATTATTTCAAAATGTTAATGTTTCGATTCAGGCAGAGCTATGTAGTCCTCACGACCTGTTAAAACTAAGCATTCAAATCACAGCCCATCAAATAGATATTTGTCAATGTATCAAAAAATAGTTCTCCAAAATGTTCATTCATACTCAAAATGACAATCGTAAAAAACAGACAGAAATGTTAGATGAGTAAAATTAAAGACCTTTTGCCGATTTGGTCCAAAATTAAGAACAAAATCGTTTCCAAAAAACCTAAGGACTTTTAACTACTTTCATGAGTATAGTAAAAAAGGTGATGAACCGTGAGTATAGTAAAAAAGGTGATGATTAAGAACACTAATGCTTATCTTTGTAACAAGCTGACAGAAGACAGTTGACTTGAAAGACAATTAAAAAAAAAAACTTAATGCTTTGAAGTCTTTAAAATCATGATAGTATGTCTACAATCTCACTGCCACTATTTAACATTTGGCAGTATTACGGATATTAGTGAACAAATTTAAATTCTACACCAGGCCTTGGCAACTTATGGCCCACAGGTCGAGCGACCTATTTCATAATTTCAAGTGGCCCACCTGAGTTCTGAAAATAAAGCATAATGAATAAAAACAAATTATAAAACATAAATCTGAAATAAATGCTTGAAGAATATCTAAGAGAAAAATTATTATAGTAACATTTTCATTTGATTATAAATTTGGGTACTATTCGGTTTCGAGGGCTGTAAAAAATCGCCAAACTATTGTTGATGCCAGTGCTGCCAAAAATAATTGCGGCAACCCTAATGCAGGAAAAGTATAATAGTAAATAATTATCTAAGATTGATGTTTTAATTTAGATGAAAGGTTAATTTCATATAATACTTTATTATTATTATAATTTATATAAAAAAAGGCTAATCATGACTGAATGGAAGCATAAGAGTAAATAACTATTTCAGATCATTATTAATAATTTATATAAAAAAAAAGGCTAAACAATAACTGAGTGGATTCCTGAATCGCTATTTCGCTACTGAAATCATCGCTAAAGCATAATTTTCATCTCGTTCGTTGTCCCAAAGTAATTTTTCTATAATGAATGATGCATTTTCTTTGAAAATATTCTCGGTAAAGTGCAGAATCGCTCACTTATTTTGTTGCCGCTTTTACAAGGTAAAAACAATTGGATTTTTGTCAATTTTCTGTTACTTTTTAAGTGAAAATAGGTCAATGTGTACGTAGATAAAGTTAAGGGTGTGCGCAGTGCCATTTTTGTGCAATTCTAGGATTTTTTTTAAAGTGAAAATAGGTCGATGTGCACATGGATACTGAGTATGTGCAATTCTTAAAAACGCGTCAAGCAATCGGTGATTCTGCACTTTACCCAAAATTCTATTGCCGACTTTTTGTCATGGGCAATTCCAAAATTGTTAAAAAAAAAAAAAAAAAATTAAAAATTAAACTAGTATTTCAATGGCGTCTTAAGAAATATAGAACTATATAAACTTACACAATCTGAAATCAGCGTGTACGCTAGATTTGGCGTGCTGTTAAATGGGTGCATTTGCTAGATTTGGCATTTCTGCGCGTACATTTTCGCTGCAATTTTTTTACAGCCCTCGAAACCAAACAGTACCTAAATTTGGATTAATGAACATGCATTTTATTTTGTAACATAATTTCAAGGAAAAATGTTTAAGGTCTGACATCTCTGATTCATAATTCCTTAACAGATATCTCGAAATCTTGCATGACCAAAGACACTGACATTTTTCGTCAAGTACAAGAGTCTACTAATTTCAAAAAAAGGCAAGTATTTGATTTAAAACATAAATTGTTTGTCGAAACAACTGACAGTGCTCCAGCTATAAGAGGAAAAACTGCTAGATTTGTGAAATTGATGGAACATGGATTTCACCACTCGCTTACAATCTTTCATCCCATTACGAATGAAGAAAATTTATTTGCAAACTCATCTATGCAACAACTTAAAGATCCAATGAAAAGGTTGTTAAAATAGTAAATATGATAGTAGCACAATCAATGTTAGTACACAGACACTTCAAAAGCCTTTTTGATGGAAATTAAATCGAAATATGGAGAAATTCGAAAAAACGATGGTTAAGCCACGGTAAAGTTCTTAAGCTTTCTAGAATGTTTTGATGAGGTACAAATATTTCTTTAAGAAATCAAAATATGATCTCAGACTCAATGATAAAGAACAGTTTTTAAAAGACTTTCATTCTAAGAACATAAGACCCATTATGATTTCAGCCTACCCCAAACAAAATAACCACACAATTTTGAAATTGTACAAGGAATGGAAGAGTTTTTCATTGAAATTAACTCAAAACAGTAATATTACTTAAAAAAGACATTAAAAAAATCACGTTTTCCTTTGCAAAAAGGGCAACATGAAAAAGAAAATATCAATGAGAATAATCATAATGTATTCGAAAGTTGGATTTTGTGCATTAAAAGTGAATTTAAAAATCAGTTTCAAATTTTTAAGAAGCACAGTAAAATATTTACTTTTATAGTAATAAAGTCCAATGAAACAGAAGAAAATATTTTAGATTTGCCATATTTTCAATATCTTAAAGTTGACAACTTTAGTTTAGAAATAACTGCTTTTTAAAGTTCAGTGTTATGGATGGATAAATTAAAGACACTCCAGACAGATTTGGTAAAATCAGAATATTATGATCTTTTCATGTTATCAGAAAGCTGGGCATCATTTCCTACAAAGTTTTCATCCCTGAAAAAAAAATTGGCTTTGGCATTTAGTCTGCATTTGTTTCAACTTATAAAGATAAGCAAATATTTTCATATATGAAATTTATTTTAAGAACAACTGCAGTTTTGCTGAAAATTCAGATGTTTTTATTTGTCTAAACTATAAGCCAGACTTGACTAAACTGACAAGTTCAGTGTCACGGAAACCATTGTTATCACAGAGAAAAATAAATTCATTCAGTTATGTTTGTTTTTATAATAATTAAAATTACAATTTTACTGTTTAAATTTCAAAGCATATTGCAATTATTTTTTAAATAACACTTATATTATTATTCAACAAAAAAGACTTTTAAAATGAAAATACCCCTGACCCAAAACATCATCTTAATATTCACATACTGGTTGATTTTGACCAGCAGCCAAAAAAGATTGTTAACACTTGTTCTAAACCTTTGAAGTCACACTGAATATCACACAAATTACAGAATTTACAAAAAGAATTCTTATTAATTTCATTATCCAACAAGTAAATAACTTCTTAATCTAATCTCATTGAGAAAATTTCCATTAAAAAAACACAAACTAATACACACCTTTTCATTGAGAGGCATGATTAAGATACCCCCAATTTTGACTAGGTTTTTAATATAAGTTTCATATTCTTCTGGACAAGATGCTCCACAGTAAACTCTATCATATTGTTGACAGCTGCTGTCAAGCATCAAGCAGTTACCAACCACAAATGAGGGCTCACAAAAATCATATTCATCAACTGCCATTGAATTCTTTAAAAAATGTTCTAATCTTTCATATGCAAAATCTACTATGTCACTATATAATTCAATCCCATGATTTGTGCCATAAGGACCTAAAAGCAGATAAATGAAAAGCCAAATTAGAAACAATACATTTTAAAACTGTAACATTAATAAGCAGAATTTTTTTTATTCTATTCAAAACAAATAAAATAAAAAAATAATATTCAAAATAAATAAAACACTTCCTATTTTTAAAAAAAGATACTTTTCTTCAAAGGAAACAAAGCAGTCACACATGCTGTTTGAAATTCAGTTCTATCAGTACACATTACGGTCCTCCTGTCTTTAGTCATGGAATTTTTTCCACGAATAATCGACTGATCCAGAGCTTCTGTCTTAAGGAAAATTTATCGTTTCAGGATTCAATGTCAAGTTCATACTGACGATGCTCCTTCATCTCTGTCGTTAATCCTCCAAAAAGTGTGTGAATCTAAAGCCTGTTAACAGTTGTTTCCATACCCATCTCTTCTACAGTTGTCCTCAGTATGTACGAATGCTGGGAACCACTATTGATGAGTACCCGTACTTGTTTTTCTTTATTTCCATATTTCAATCTAACCTGTAATGTCTGAAGTAGAACTTCACCAGAATAACAATGATTTGACAGGCTGTTATAGCTTTTTCTGATTCTTCAGATTTAAGAAAATTATTAATTAATGCATTAGTTTTCAGCTCTGGACACATTAAAACTAAATATCTTTTTCCACAGAGAATAAATTTAATATTTGTCTTGCAAAATTTCGATTGATGTATGGCTCTTAAACATATAAAGCAGACTTATTTATTCTTTAAAATATCTTGTTTCTGCTTGAAATTCAGAGTTTGAGCCTTAAAACAATCTCTGCTCTTGTGTGCCTTTTCACAAAATACACAAGCTACATTTTGTTTTCCCTTTTCGAAAACTCCACAAAATAAATCTGCAGCTGTCGGTTGATTAAGTGGTTTAGCCATCTTTTCTTTCTCCCATTTCTAGTATTTATTTGAAAACCTAGATTTCACTAGAACTCATTCCTATCCTTTTACTTCCATTTTCATAAACAGTAACAAGCTTTTTAGCTTTCCACTTCATGGATTCTCCGCAGACTCATTCACTGTACTAACTATAGGATTTCACAACCACACCCTAAAATTGTCCTCCGGTGTGCAAGATTCAATGAGAGAGAAAAGCACGGCAGGATATTTATCCAAAGTCAAACTAATGGATTCCACAGTTCTCTCTCCAGTTTATTGTACTGTCTAACAATGTTTAATTTTTAGTTATTGCCTTTAGCATTTTTTATGACTAGCTTTAACAGTTCTCACACATAGAACTCAGTAAGTATTTCATCTCGCCCAAAACAAGATTTTAGGCATTCTACCACTTTATTATGATTTTCACCTGTTAGCAGATAACAGTTAACAATATCACGTGTGCATTTCAAATAAATGATGAAATTTAAGAATTTTTTTTTTAAAAAAAAATTAACTTAAAAATTGCATTATATGTAAATTTTTTACATTATTTTACAAAGTAAATCATCAGAATGTAAATAAGCATGAAATGAAATAAAAGCATTTATGAAGAAAAAATCAGCATTTATGTAAATTTTCTGTAAAAGTGAAAACACAAGAAAGTATATAATAAGGATGTTTGGATAAATAGATTAAAAAAAAAAAAAAAAAAACACTTTTTTGTGAAACTGTTTAAAGCATATTTTATCTTTTTCGCTTCCCACGTGTATCTTGTTCTATGAGGTTTCTCCCTTGTGCTACAGAATGTACACTGTTGGGATTTGCATTTTTACTGATATATATTCTGCATTCTTTAGTCTCTTTTCATCTGGCACAGAAAATTTGTTGGTTTTATATTAATAGGGGCCTTTTGCTTTGGTACGGATCCTTCGTTTCCAATTTGTATCATACTGCTGATTATATCCATTCTGAACACTTTGAGAATTTTTAAACTGCAATCACTTTCTGAAAGCATTCGATACATAATGGTCACTTGGTAAATTTACATCATCATTTTCTCACTGATCATTACTTTCATCTAAATTTCTTATAAACGGGAGGGAAGGGGGTAAAGGAGTATTTCCCTCTCATCACTTTCATCCTCAGAGACCACCAATTCTGGATCTGAAGGTAATTCTTCAAGTAAAGCTAATGCATCAGATATTTCTAGCCCTTTGCAAGCCATTTTAAATTTCAGAAGTAGAAAAAAAATATTTATAAAAGATACTTAACTTAAATAAAACTTTTATGTGATTTCTATTTTTAATTATAGAAAAATATATTTATATTATATTTAAACCACACAATATACCATAATTTCCGGAAGAAACGCCGCGGCGTTTACGTGTTTAAAACTTAAATTTTCAGCGGATGTGGTGTTTCTACCCATGCGGCGTTTAGGTGCACTAAAAATAAAATATTTCCTATGATGGTCATTGTACATAGTTTGGATGGCCTTGTCATTGTGCATAGACTGGTGCTGTTCCCACACAAAAGACCACTCAGGTGCTTTTTGCGAACGTTATTTTGTCTACATTCTTTCCCTTGAACGGACCTACGTGCCTTATTCACCCTAAACGAGATCTCAGAACAATAACATTCTTCCCCCTTCCAAATCAACATTCTCATCAGTTCGAACTCTCTCCTCTGCCATTCGATGAATCTTCCAGGACCCATCCTCTCTCCACCCCTGCCTTTTCTGCAATTTTTTTCAAAGGCGGACACGACTCCACCTGCCTTGCAATAACGAACTCCGACGTATTTCCCCTTCGCATGAATGGATTTTTCTTGGCATTCTGCCAGATACAGATCCCATCAGTTTCGGTACAAGTACTTGTTGGATAGTTTTTAAGACTAGCGTCTACATCCCAAAACGGCAGCCTATGAGAGAGACGATTCTATTATTTTCATCGGGGAGTAGGGGAGTTAGAATGGTTTTCTGAGGAATGCAACGGCAGTGGACTATATGTTTGCTTACATTTGGAAGTTCAAAAAATTGCTAAGGTGGATTGCCTTAGTTTCTACGGTTACTTAAGGGAAATATTAGGCAGTTTTATCGGTTTGCTGATAGAGGGCAAATAGACAGTTTACCTTTATAATCCGCATTTATCTATTTAAACTTCAGAAGATTTAAGATGAAGAGAATATATTTAACACAACAGAACGCAAGCTTAAGACTTGTAAATCTTTTAAAAAACAATACATCGATAATTAAAAATATTATTTATAGTGCATTATTAAAAACTTAACTGGTATGTCATATATCAGGACTTGAGTTTTTGCATCTATAAGGCCCAGGACGATGTCACGCACAATTTAATCTATTGCGGCGTTTACGCTGATGCGGCGTTTCTGTGTAATTTTAATTTTTTTCCTGCCATTTTTCTCAAGTGCGGCGTTTACGCTGATGCGGCCTTTCTTCCGGAAATTACGGTAATTAATAAAATCACAATACTAGCATAGGAATCAAGTATGTTGAGCTGAGGTTTGGTTTATGTATGTGTGTGTGTGTGTGGGGAGTTATGGCAAAGCTTCTAAGGTAAACTTGCTCATATACACGTTACACATGGGTAAAACCACGGAAAGGCCCATACAGCCAGCCCGTTCGCGGGATTTGAACCTTGGACTGAACTACCAGTGTTCAGGAATTTTACCACTCGGCCGCCAGTAGGACGGGTTGAACTCAGAGAAAAGTCTCTGGAAATGAAAGCCATTTTACATGGGCAGGTGCATGTATTGTTTACAAATCAGAGCCCCTTATCTATATCCAGGTAAAAGTAAATGCTCCCATTTGAAAGCAGAAAACACCATTGTGAAGAGCAGTGGTTTCAGAACACAACCATTGAGCCCTTAGAACAATGTGAAACAATGCTCTAGTGGCTCTGTGGTTGTACCCTAAAACTACAAAGCAAATGCCATAAATATACACAGGTTGTTCATATATGCAGGCTAATGATTGCTACATTTTTATTGTTTATGATAGAAATGATGATGTGCGATGAATAACTTTTGAAATTTAAAATTGTTTATATTAATAAAAGGTATTTTGTCTCACTGAAAATGAATTTTAAAAGACATCTGCTTTGAAATTCTAAGACCTCAAAAATGCAGGGTTCTGCAGTCTTTTTGTGTTATTTAGAGGTAAAAGATCAGAAATCAATTGGTTTTCAGTCAAAAATTTTGGAAAGAAGAGAAGGGGGGGGAATTCGAAAACTGCTGCTTTCAGGAAGCGAACACTGCGTGTGAAGGGTTTAAAAAGTATAGTACACAGAAATTGGACTTGCATAGCAATTTCCCAACATAAGGGTGGCCATATCTTTATGAACGATGCTTTTTCAAATTAGAGCAGTTACATCTTTATGAAGGATGCTTTTCTTAAAAATAGAAACTATTTTACAATAAGAAAGTAAGCACCTTTAATGCAGGAAGCAAGCACTCTAATAAGATTTCTGTTTTTTTAAAATTGGCATCATTTCATAAAGGTGCAGGTATCCGTATTATGGGTCCCATTATTAAACAGTTCTAAAATATGAGTGCTGTTGATATAATCTATTCCTAGACTGAATTTTTGAAAAATTATATGAATGATTAATGATGTATGGTGTTACATAAGATACAATTTATGGTGTTATATAAGATACAATTTATTAACTTGATTTAAAAAATATATTAAAGGAATCACATTTTAACAAGTACAGAACATTCACAGCACTACAAATATGAGGCCTATTCAATTGATTCTTAGAATGAAACTCTTATAAATACAGGAATGACTTAACTAATATATGCTGTTAAAGTATGCACACCTCCTGTTGCTATACACTACACTTAACATCAATGCAACTCTCTGAAAGAATAATAAAACTACTTTTTTGGGGGGAGAATACTGTGAAATTCCTTGCAGTATTTCATTTAATGGTCCAGGAATCTCTATTTAAAATAGCTTTCAACCCGGGAAAAAGAAAAATGGCCATGAGGAACAATATAATGATAGTATCTGGGAAATCAATGAAATGTTTATTCTTGGCCAAAAAGTTCAATACAAGTTTTTATACATGATATGAATTGTAATGGTGAAAATGCAGTTTTCAAATGTCATTTTTTTCTGTATTTTAGAGCATCAAATATAAAATTTTTGGTACTTCGTTATTTTTGCAGCTCCCATTTTATAAACGGTGCCAAGATTGTCAATTAATAACCAATACAAACCATCTTCAAACTGCACTGACATGAAGAGTAAGCATATTCATGACAAGTAAACCATGTCTTGTTATATTTTTTCATAAAAATGTTAAGAGTTCATGATTACTCATAATTATCTTTACATGAGTTGAGATCTGACTATTCCAAGTGTTAACAATATTTTTTTTTTCAAAAATAAATAAATAAATAAAATAAAAATGCTCAATTTGCAGAAAAGTGCTGCTATATCTCTCTTCCATCAAAACCCCATTTTAATACTCATTCAAATATGCAAAATGGCCATTAAACAAAAGAACATATCAATAAAAGCATATTTAATGTGAAAAGTGGTGAAGGAATATGTAGCACATTTGATCATCATCTAAATGCAGCTTACAGGCAATAAACTTTGCAAGCTCCCATTTTATAAACGGCAGGCAATAAACAGATAATATCATAAGATCATAGTTCATTAATGGATAAACAGCAAACACAAAAAAATACAATTAAAATGTAGACACATATTTATTTTGTAAGCTGTCAGAAAGAAAAATAGCACACAAGCACTATCAACTTTTCATCTGTGCAGTATAATAAGTTGTGTAAGACAATTTCTGCAGGAACAAGTCCTTGTTTCGGTTAAGGAGAGTGAAGATAAGAATGGATGTGCAGCTTCCTTGTTTCTACTACTAATTCTACAAAAAGTTGTAAGTAGAAAAAACACATGTTGACAACTAAGTTAGCAATATCAGAATACAGTTAGCAATAGTATAGTAATCTGCTTACTGTTGAACACATCAACTGATGTTTAGTAAGTGGTGGAAGAAGCAACTCAGCCTTTACAAAAATACAACTATGATTAGAATAGCTATATGAGAGAAGTGTATTCTTTATATCAAATCTGACAATCATATATGTAAATAAAATTGCTCTGAAAAATTGTGTACATGAACAAAAATCTGTTCGTAAAGGAAAAAAAACAGAAATGACAGGTTTTCCTCTACAATAATGGATATTTGGTAGATTATGTGAAGAAACTGGTGAATTCCTTCTTACTCAGGTTCTGATTAGAGAAGCAACCACACTTGTGGCAAAAATCGTTGACCATCTATTAAAGACATCAATGATTTATTCAGTCATTAAAACAGAGAAATGGTAATAGCAGATTAGAGACATTTTATGAGCCATATATTTGTTGTTTATACAACAATGTTGCTCATGCATAAAATTTTGAAAGGCTCTGGTGTTCTCAATAATGTATAGTTTGCCTTACCTTGCAAAGTTTAAGAGGCATTTCTTGGGGCAAGAAAATGCTTCTGGTGACATATTAAAAGCAATTGTTCCAAGCTTAAAGCACAAATTCATGATGCATTAAATAGTCATTATACAAAAATAATTAAAAAAAAAAAAAAAAAACCTCAGCAAGACTTTCATATGAAAATAAACTTGCTTGGCAATTCTGGTCTTCCACTGTGATGACATCTGTTTTATCTGTTGAGTGATATCCAAACATCCAAGATTCTTCCTTTGTGATAACCAGGTTAAGAATTTCCTCAAGTTCTGCACAAACAGTCAAGTGATTGGACTTTTTATCTTGAGGAACAAATGATGTGGAAATATTCCTCATATTTTAATAAAGTTTGGTGATACAAGCCAACTGAAATAATTGTTCCTACAGCAGTGTCAAGAAAAACATGATATCACCTCATCAAATAAATGATTTCAGCAATTTCTTGTTGATGATGATCAACAGAAGGGCAGCCAGGACATAAATCCTCACTTTTTAAAAAAAAGTGAATTTGCTTCTGAATTTGTGTGCAGTGCTTACAGTGTTCATACAGTGTTCACAGCTTACAGTGTTCTCATTGAATGTTGGATTTAATATTTGTATATCTCTGTGGCTGATTTCCAGAGATTGAAAAAAAGTGGTTATACCACTGAAATGGTTAATAAAATGCAAAGAAAAAAAAAATTTTTTTTTTGCTTACATAAATGAGAAAAAGAATATAAATATGGAATATGTCCCCCTCTGACAATGAACATAGGCTTAGCACCTCCTTTCTATGCAACTGATTAAACGGTCAGCTACGTTAATCAAAACAAGTCATTACACATCTCATAATTAACTCTTAGCTCCTTTAAGGATGCTGGAGGAAAAGACAAGGTGGCTAGCTGTCTCTCTTCCAATGTGGTTCCATTAGATTAGGATCTAGTGGTCAAGCTGGCCACTCCATTCATTAAATAGCTAGGCAGTAAAGGAAATAGTTAAATGTATATATCCTAAAAAGGCAGGTATTAATGTTTACTCAAACAAAGAAATTGCTATTGAAACCAGTATACTGTTTTGCATGAGATCAAGGATGTCGGTTTTACATATCTCAGCTCTAATAAACTAAGGAGAAATACATACAGGTCAGTGTGACTGTTTAAATTCTTACTCAAATAAGGGTATTGCTTCAGTATGTGTGCATTCAATTGAACATGATATGACATAAATATACACTGCAGACAGTATTTAAATTCATTAGTGGAAAAGTACCGACTGTCATTACTTTTTGTTCCATACAACATGCTTGTCTATATCAGTTTGTTATGAATGAAGGCATCAATGGAATATCAACAGCGAACCTTCAAGCAAATAGCCCCTTCAATATGCAGTATTCTTTTCATAACAAAAGCTGATATTCTTCTTATGAAATGATTAGCACTAAGCTAAGGCTCTATGGTTTGTTGCCTTCTAGCTGAAGAAGCAAGAAAAGTCCTTGGAAGAAGATGTTACAGACAGACAGCCTGAAAGTGGCCATCTTAACATTGGAAAACTGATTTTTATTCACTGGTAAACTGATTTCATAATCTGTAGATAATACTACTATTGACATTTAGCCATTCTGCTGCTTCAGCTTGTGACAGGCATTTTTCTATCTAGCCAATTGTTTGGCATCTTAAAGAAAGCCGCAGATGATATTTCTTAATTTCACAGACTAATTTTCGACAAATAAATATGCATTGGGTACACAAAACACTGTCCCATATTTCTGCATTTAAATGTAGAAGTACCAACTTTTCCTAAACATATAGTGATATTTCTGTGTTAGATAAAATTTTAATGCTTTTATTACTTAATTAACCAATAAACTTTATTCAACACGATTTATTTTCACAATAATATAATAGAAAAATCATTTGCTTGTTAACTCACAGAAAGCAGATAATTTCATAAAAACTATTCTTTATAAAAATTAAAATTTAATATAAATGAAATATACATATTATCTTGCGAATATCCAGCAATGAGAGTGAAGAGAGGGAGGAAAACTGAATGAAGAAAAAGAAATGTTCACCTAAAACTAATCCTGCTACTGTACTAAGATAGCCACTGCCACTTCCAAGATTTAAGAAGGATAATCCAGGCCGGAGCTTCAAGGCTTCCAAAACTTCAGAATATACACATGGTGCAGACAAATGCAGGTTTCCCATTCTCCATGCTATATCCCTATAGGCATTTTCCTTATGCTCTGGGGAGTAATAATTGCCTCGATCAACAGCTCTAAATACACGCTGAACTAAAGGAGTTTTGATAAATTCAGCTTCAACTAAATTATCAATAAGTTCATCATTATTCTTTCCAGCACTGACTGCTCCACCCATTCCGGACCTTTACTAGACAGAACCTGAAACTTTTAAGAATAAGGAATAAATAACAAGCAGTCATTGAGAGAAAAATATTACATTCATTCATTGAAAATTTAAAACTTACAAAATAATTTACATACTTTGATATTTAATACAGAAATACAGATATACAATTGAAATTTGCTTAGGGATTTTAAAGAATTAAATGTTTGGTTAATTATATCTAACCTGATAAGTAGAAAAAATGGATCACACAACAAAATTGCATAAAACTTTAGACCAGTGTTTCTTAACCTTTTTGGCACAATGAACCACTTTAAAAATTTTAAATATGTCACGGACCCCTCTGTGAAAAAAAAATTGCTTAAACATAATTTATTACAAAATATATTCTGTTTTATTATTTAATTATTTTTATATTTTTATTTCAATAGTATAAAAAATTTGAAGAAATTAAAATTTTAAATGTGGAAGGCTGTTGCTGCTTTTCCTTGATTAACAGATTGAATTTAGGGATGGTTTTCGACAAAGCAACGCGCATATCAAGTTCGACATTCAGTCTATTTCGAATGTTTTGTTTTTATTGTGACAAGTGTCGGAAAATCCCGCTTCGCAAAGATATAATGGTAGCAAACGGAAATAATGGCTGCCATAGCTCGTTTTACAAGCAATGGGTAGGAGAAGACCAAAACTCTCCAAGAGTTTTTGAATTGAAATCCATTTTTAACAAGGACTTTCTTTTCAAATCAATTTGCTCATCTTTGGCAAGGTTCATGTCATCGATACAGTCAATATCACAAAGAAAAGGATTACGAATCCACAACTCATCTTTTATAACAAAAGAACCATCCGAATTGAAATATATTTCAAATGAAACTTCCAGGTGTTCACAGATTTCATTTTTCAAGTTATTCAATAACAAACTATCTTTCCGATATCCATTTTCAAAAAGCACTTCGTCCAACATTTGAAAGTTTGCATATATCCCATTTTGAATTCTAATTTTCCAAAGTGACATTTTCAATAAAAATGCCTGTGGTTTCTCAGTGGCATCCATAATTGTTGTATCAGGCCCTTGAATTGAAAGACATATATCGTTCATGTGGTTAAAAATGTCTGTCAGGTAAGCCAATTTACATATAAAATCTCTTTTCTTGAAATATTTGATGAGTGAGTTATCTTTTTCTTCTAAAAAAAGTGATACTTCTGTCTTCAACATGAAAATTTGTTTCAAAATCTGCCCTCGTGACAGCCAGTGCACTTCCGTGTGGTACAGAAGTACCTCATGTTCTGCGTTCATTTCTTGACGGTGTTTTAAAAAGATGATAATTAAGAGCTCTACTTCTAATAAAATTCACAGTTTTAATAACTATAGACAATACTTCTTTTAAGCTGGTTGGAAGAGTTCTTGTAGCCAGTGCATGTCTATGTAAAAAACAATGTGTAATAATAATACTAGGAGCCTATTTTTTTACCAAATGAGCAAAACCAGATTTATTGCCAAGCATCGCAAGTGCTCCACCCGTACAAAGTGAATGAAGTTTTTGTTTCCAGTAAAAGTCGTGTTTGGAAAAGAAAACATTTAAAATTGCTAAAACATCAACTGCCTTTGTAGTTTGCAAAAGAGGATCACAAAATAAGAATTCTTCTTTGATAGTATCAGCAGACACGTAACGAACAAAAACAAGAAGTTGACTACAATTCAAGCTGTAGTTTCATCCAGTTGCATATTAAAGGGAAATGGCAATGCTTTCAATTCATCGATGATCTGTTTCAAGATATTGCAAAAAATTTCAACTATTCTTGAATGTATCACATCCTTTAACAATGGAATAGCCTCAAGTTTTTTTCTCTGTTCCAGTCCACAAACTAATTCAACCATTTCCAGCTCACAAGGCTTAATTAATGTCTCTCCAATAGTATGCGGTTTCTTATTTTTGGCAATACGATATGCAACTCTGAAAGATGCCTCAACCAAAGGTCCAAACATATCCATTAAAAAAACATTAAGAAAATTTTACAGCAGGTTATAATTTATGATATTGATTTTAAAATAATATTAGTACTATTAAACACTACAATCATTAATTAAATTAATTACATTAAAATCTACAACAACAAATAACAAAATGTTTATGTGTCTTCTTAATTTGAAAATTTTCTAGATATTTTTAATTTACATCAGTTCCTTCTCTTCAGCATCTTTTCTTAGGTTATTTGTTTCAATAAACAAATCAATGTTCTCACTTGCTTCGTCTCCTAGTCAGTTAATTTTTAAATAGCTTACCTATGAAGAATAATTTTTTTCTCTCTTTGTAACACCAATTCCTTTTTCAATTAATTTTATTTTCATTTCAGAATTAATTAAAGATTTCTGTTACTCTACAGAACTGCTTGTACTCAGAATGATAGAAGAAATTAATTTTGTTTCCGAAATTATATTAAGTCAAAACTGGTGCAGCAACCAGAGTGGCAGAATTTTTTAATTTAGTGAAGCACTGAGCAATAAAATTTAGGGCAGGTACTGAGGTATATATGATGCACTGAGACATATATGATGAATCTTAAATAGTCAGTTTTAAATTGCTATTATTAGGGTTGCCCCAATTATTTTTGGCAGCACTGGCATCAGCAATAGTTTGGCGATTTTTTATGGCCCTCAAAACCAAATAGTACCGCACAACTTTTCTCGCAGAAACAAGAGCGGGGAAAGTGCAGAATCACCCACTGCTTGGGACGTTTTTTAAAGTTACACAAACTCAGCATCCATGTACACATTGACCTATTTTCACTTAAAAAATCCCAGAATTGCACAAAAATGGCACTGCGCACTTCCTTGACTTTATCCATGTACACATCGACCTATTTTCACTTAAAAAGTCAAAGAAAATTGACAAAAATCTAATTCTTTTTACTGTTGTAAAAAGCACCAAAAAAATAAGTGGGTGATTTTGCACTTCACCCACAAGTGCTTCTCACAAAACAGTTTCATGGATCAGACAGGGTTCGTACACATTTCTGTATACAGAAATTAAGCACTTTTAAGGACCTATGAGCAAAAGGGAACTGAATAAATTCAATTAAAAATATTATCTATGCCTGAATTTCACTTTTGTAATACCATCCTAAAAATAAAATAGATCCCTAAGTAGTGCATTATTACTAAAAATGAATTAATTAACATAATTATTAATAAGTTTGAGAATAAAATAAACTTTAACTCTCTGAGCGGCCAGGGTTTCACTAAGAAAGCACAAAACTACTATGAGAACAAATTTTTTTTTTGATTTTAATGTAAAATCTCTCCTGGTATTTCATACCTAGATTTGTTCTCTTTTGATATATTGCCTTAATTTATTTGACATATTTTATTATGCACGTATATATACGTTCTTACAGATATCCCAAAACATATTCTAAGCCGCATATATACGGCCTTACCGATTAGAGGGTTATGCGATTTATCAAGAAGCATTAAATATTTTACACTTATAATAGTTGGACATATTTGAAAGAAGAAAAGTGACATTTACGCTTTACTAACAGTTAGCTATATGTTGATTTTTTTTTAGTCTCATTTTGTCCCATACTAGGTCAGTCTACAGGTTCAGTAAATAGCAGGTAGATTTTATATCATACGACATAGGTTAAAATGAGAAGTAAGATCATAATCAGCATGATTCATAACAAAAGACTGAATGTTGTCACCGCTGCTGCTTGTCTAGAGAGAGACCTGCTGATTAGAACAAACCTGAAAGGCCTGATGTAGGCATGGTTGGCAAGTGTTTAAAGTTAGTCAGGCTCTGTTTGATGCAGTTAGTGTCATAGCTTTGTGTAGCGTTCCATGGGTTGCAACCCAGTTAATATACTTTAAGGTTCCAATAAGCCATTAAAGCACCAGAGGTGATAAGTTATTTTGTATTATTTTAAGCTTCACTAGATGCAAAGAATAAGTTTTACTTGAATTTTTACATTTTTGTATATTTTATCTCGCGACCACAGTGAGTATTATTGAAAGGCAATAATTCGCTTTAATATGTAGAGATGAATTTTAAGGGTAAGCAGTTAGTTATAAATAATTAAATTAGATACTTAGAGAACCTTAGTCATTATGGATTTATATGGCCACTATTAAATTTTATTTTTTAACAATATTTGTTAAAAAAAGCCCTATTAAAATCAAAATCTAATAAAATTTCAGTTTAAAATACATGTAATTTATGACACTGATTCTTAAGGGGTGTCGGAAACCGACAATGTTAAATTGGCCATTTTCAATGTACCTTCTCTCACAATCTACTGTAGATACACGCTTGAATTGATACACGTAATTAAAGTAAAATCTCATCATACTGAAATGAGCTTTTGAAACATTTTGAATATTAGAGTAATTTATAGACTAATGTGTTAGGCATAGTAAAATTTAGCAATCTTCTCAAAAAAAAAAAAAAAAAAAAAATTGTGAAATTATTTTCTTAGTTTATCACAAATGACTCATTTTAGTACATATTAGAAAACACAATAAATAAGCCATAAAAATTTTACATGCCTGTGAGCAGTAGTTCCTGAGAAAAGGTACATTAAGTATACAAAAATCACATTCGGAGAAAAACGCTTTTTTATGTAAAAAGTGTCGTTTATCAAAGCATTCGATGATAAATTAAAACTAGATTTTTTACAGTTCTAATTTTCATAGAGATTAAAGTATGATATTTTTATAAAGCTAAAAGTGTCGAAAATTTGAAAATGCAAAATCCCAAATCACCATTTGAAGAATTTTGGGTTCCAACACCCCTTAAATGATATTAGAATAATTTCACATTAAAAGCTACAAAACAAATCTCAACAAAATATCAGTCATTTTAACTTGAAGCCTTTACAAATATTTTAGCTAGTTTATATTGATTTCCTTCTCTTTAAAGCATCTTTTATAAAAATTAGAGATTTGTCTCAATATGCAAACCAGTGCTCTCGCTAGTTTCTACGTGCTTTATCTCCTAACTTGTCAACCTTTCCATAACATACCTATGAGGATTTACTTGGTCTGGTATAAGTTAAATAGCCCAAAACCCCCGACAGACGTGAAGCATATTATTATGTCTGAAAGTAACTACAATATCAGATAAAGGTAAGGTTCTTTTTAAAAAAGCCTCTTATTTAAAAAGAACTTAGAACACAAAGGCATGTTCTGATGCTAACAAAATCAATTACAGCTGACGGTGACATAATTAAACAAAAATAGTCTAATTCAAACTAAAAATGTGTAGTGGTCAAAGATTATACAATTTAATTTAAATTTAATCTGGTTCAGTAACTCTATCATAGGAGGAAATAGAAATGGGGAGTTATAGTAAAGGCTAAAATCATAAATAATTGGGTAATTTAAATAATAATAACTGCACATATCTTTGATGAATAATTTTCTTTATGTATTCAATTTCTTTCTTCAACATGTTTCCTTTTCATTTTAGATTTTTTGGATTTAATTAAAGATTTATGTTATTCTAAAAAACACTAAATGCATTTAGAATGCATAGAAAAAGCGCCCAATTTTATTTCTTTAACAATATGAGCATTTAGAAGAAATATGAAATATATATGGTAACAGAGCTGATGTGGCAGAATTTTTAGAATTTAGTGACACACTGAACAACAAAATCTAGAAATGGCAAAACTTTTAGAATTTAGAGCAGGCATTGGAAGCAGAATTTAGAAAGGCACTAAACAACAGAATTTAGGATCCACAGAGGTTGCATCAGGTGGGAAAATGCTTAGAGCCAGCTATGTGTATGATGCATTAAGACATATTAGATGAATCTTTTAAATGTTAAGTTTTCAATTTCTTTATTAATAAAAAAAATTCCTTTCTATAAGGCCTGCCCATGTCATAAGATTAGAATCATTTTTGATATTTTCCATGCTTGAGTCTAGTGAAAAGCAGAAAAAATTAAGAGAAGATAAGCATGTTAAGATTCTAGTAACAGAAGTAAAAAATTTAAATATTATGTTTTCATTGTTCTTCTAGACGTTCTCCAAAAAGTAAGAAATTCATTGCAAACTTTCTGTAAAATACATCCATTATATGTTGATACCATGGAGACATTTTTCATTTTGTCACATATTTCTCGAATCTTCTCGAATCATAGGTCTATAAATCTTCCCTTCAACTTCTTATAAACCTTCCAAGCTACAATGTCTAAAATCCTAAAGAAAAATTATCCCTACCAATTTTGTAACAGCAAAAAGAAATTATTTTTTTTGGGGGGGGGAAGAGGAAAAAAGTGTAAAATTAATTTTATAGAGAAAACTGATGCATATTCTGAGACAATTACATGGAAAAAAACTCTTACTATGAAAAAATTAAAAAGAATACATTTTTAATTAATTACATAGATAATTTTGCTCTTGATAAGAGCTGTTTCATAAATTGTGCTTTAAAGCATTATACCATTGTATTTTTGTTTTCAAAATTTTAAATAGATAAGTTTGCCCAAAATTTAAACTTTATAATATGACAAGGAAAAAAAAAAAATGTTATTTTTTTTTAAATATAATTTCATATATTACAATGATTTTAATGAAATAATCAATGTTACAATGTTTTAAAAAAAAAAATCGAAAAAATAGATTCTCGGAATTAAAATTTTCTATAAAAACTGATCTTAAAATCGTCCAAAATTTGATAAGTCCCAGATTTAGAAAAATTTAATTAAAGAATTTCGTCCCCCAAAGCAAAAGTTGTTGTAAAAGCTCTTTATAGAAAAAATGTATTTCGGAAATGCTTAAGTTCACATTCTCCAGGTTTAAAAATAGAACAAATTATAAACCCATGAACCCATTCAAAAGATAAGCATATATGTCAATCGCCAAAAATATTCCTTCAAAATGCTAATTCACACTCAAAATGGTAGTCGTAAAAACAGACAGAAATTTCAGATGATTAAAATTAAGGACCTTCTTCTGAGTTTGGCCAATATTATGGATTTTTACGGACGAAAAATCGCTTCCAAAAAATCTAAGGACTTTTAAGGACTATACGAACCCTGTCAGAGAAGAGTCTAAAATTTAAAAAAAAAAATTGAGTTCTCTCTGATAGTCAGTGCATTTTAGACACACCTAGCATCATTATTAATGATTAACTATCTATAGCACATTCTACAGAAATTTTTAGCACAAAGTCGTACTTAAAATTAATATAAGGATCTGCTACTGAATATAGAAACAACCTGCCAACGGCAATGCTAAAAGAACTGCTTAAAAAAAAAAAAAAAAAAAAAAAAAGAGAAAGAAAGAGAAAAAAAAAAAAAAAGAGAGAGAAAATTTTAAAACAAAATTTACTAACTATTTTCTATTTTTCAATAAAAAGGCTAGAAAGACGAGAATGCTTGAGTAACAAAATAGGAAGAGAATGAAATTAGCAGACTGATTAAAAAGATTTAAATCAGACAAATCTTTAGTCATGAGCGACTAATTACGGGAATTTTCAAAGAAAACAATTCAAATACAGCATAACAGGCATTAATGCAAATAACAAATATTATATAAAACAGCATACTCTATTTTATTTACAGCAAAATATTTTTAATCACAACAATTTAACTCAATTACTTCAAGATCAACAAAGTGCTGAAATACTTGGAGCAATCTCAAAATATATTAATGCAGAATCAAAATACATATACAGTGTCTCACAAAAGTGATGGGACACTTGTGCTTTACAAAAACTGTAATAAAATAAATTAAAAGAACATGTAAACATTTTTTGTGGGTTTCATACTTAAATTTAGTAACGATTATTACATAATACATTTCTCATAATATTAAAATATTAATTTAATAAAAATACAATTGTTTAGACGGAGCAAAAAAGGCTCACATAAGTGATGGGACACCATTAGAACTACTACGTACTACAAAAATACTTTTTGTGGGTTTTTATTTTTACTCAAAAAGCCAATTAGCAATAATTTATAAAAATCGTCTGCAGTATTTCGCTCCAGTTTGTTTTGGAATTTGTGTTTTTTTTTAGTTCTGTGCAGCCATGAATGCTAAACGAAAAGAAACCTTGCCTGAAATTCGAAATACTTGTTATATTGATTCGTTGGAAAATCTATTAGAGAAACTGCTGATGAAAACAGTTAACTTGATTCATCACAGTTTTCAATATCATTAAACGATAAAAAAGTCATAGTTCAGGAAAAGAGATCTGGCCGACCATCAAAAATCTTAAAAGCGAATATCATTCGATATTAAAAAAAAATCCAAGACAGAGTGACTAAAGTTTGCTGATATTTACAAGCATTTATAGTAGTATTGTAATCCAGGACTATTAGAAGAGTAATTTGATTTGGATATACGGTTTAGCGAGCCAGGAAAAAATTCTTGTAAGTGAAAAAAACAGAAACATCAGACTGGATTCGCAAACACAAGAAATTTGATTACTGGAATGGAGTTATATTTGTGAGAGAGTAAATTTAATACATTTTTGCTTCTGACGGTAGAATCTTGGTGTGGAAAACCCAGGGAAGAATTTCGGCAAAACAGGACTTGGTGCCAAATTAAAACCATGGTGAAGGGGAATTATATGGGGGTATATGTGTCCGCTAGAGTTGGTAATCTGTTTTATTGACAGTATAAGTGATCAGTACAAGTATATTGACATTTTAAATCAAAATTGAACTTCTCAGCACGAAAATTGAACCTTCATAACGATTTCAAATTCTACCAGGACAATGACCCCAAGCACACTGCTCTGAATGTTACACTCTGGCTGCTGTATAACTATCCTGAAATAATAAAAACACCACCACAATCTCCAGACTTAAATCTAATAGAGAATATTTGGCAAGAATTGGAATCAAGAATTCGCAAACACACCATTTCTTCAAAACAACAATTAAAATCGGTGCTTCAAGAAGAATGGGGTAAAATCACTCCAGAAATCACAAAAAAATTAGTCGAAACCATCCCAAGACGAGTAAATCATGTTTTAAAAGTAAAAGGATATCCAACAAAGTATTAAAACCTTTTAAAAAGTAAAAGTTTTGGATAAACATTTGATGGAAGTTAATATCTGAAAATCAAAACGGTATACTTACTTTTAAATACTTAACCCCCAGCCAAAATTTTATGGGAATGATTCAAAAATCACCTTGAAAAGTAATATTAATATAATGAAGTACGTAAACAATGAATTAAATCTAATGTCCTTTCCTTATTATTATAATTGATCTTCTTGGGATTTTATGATGATATAACCATTTTAAATACATTTCCTGAAAGTTGTACGAAACACATACTGTTCTCCCACATATGAAAAAAACCGCTCGCTCAGAAATAAACAAAATAACCTTTAGTAATTACATAAACCAACACTATAAGAAATACTGTGTGGTATTTATATTATGATCCCGTTCGACTACTTAGAGGAAAACAAATGAAATTTCGATAAGCATTCGAGCAAATAAAAGTTTTATTAATTGAATTAAATGCATGTACACGTTCGAAAAAAATTTTAAGATTCATACATCAATTTTATTACCTTCGATTAATAATAACTTCCAATACTGATTAAAAAGTCGTCACTAGATGTAAATTCCACTTCATCAAAGATGAAAAACAATAAAGTTCAGTTGATGCCATATTCAATACGTAAATAATTTCTCAAAAATTTCATTACTTCTTTATTGAATTTCTTATATTTTACAAGCCTGCTAGGAATAAATATTTGTATTTTATTAGAGACGTCATTTATTTAATGCTAGTAAGGTAATGC